TTATATAACAATATATTACATATATTATTTATATAATAATATATTATATATATTTATGTCTAATTTTAAATCATAACACCTTATGTGACTATGTGGTTAGTATCTTTTTTGTATAGATTTGATCCAGGTTCGAATCCCACACTTTACATCTATTTTTCTCAATTTTAGTTTAACGAGCCAATTTCGAGCCGAACACGAACATGAATATTTAAATCGAGTCGAACACGAACACACTGTTCACGAACCGATTTCGAACACGAGCTATTTCTAACGAGCCGAACACGAGCCAAGCCTGAGCTCGCTCAACTCGGCTCGTTTACAGCCCTAGGCACAGTTTGAATAATCCACTATAATTATTGTAGCTCTTCTCTTAAATTAGTGGAGATAGAATTACAATGTTGATGTACAACGATAATTCTGTAATAATAGTTGTAACAGATCACCATATTCAATTGTTATAATGATAGTAGTCTTCTATGAATGTAGTAGGCGATGATTGTAGCACCAACTAATCGTAAATGGCGTAGCTAAAAGCCTTGGAAGTAGATGACAATGTAATTAATATATGGTTGTTTCAGAAGCGTCGGTTGGCCACATAGTTCACATTGAGGAGTTGCAGGAGTTGTGGACCAAGTAAGCCGTAGTTGGTTATGTAAGTTGTAGTGGGCAGCTGAAATAATATTTGTAGACCATAAATGACAAAGATGAGAACTACATGAACAATTAACTACATAGGGTGTAGTCTTCAAATAGCTCTAACGTTCGTAGGCCACTAAGGCTGGAGTTGGGAATTGCGTAATCTCTGAGCCAAGTAGGTCGTAGTTGGTCACGTAGGTCACATAGGCTAAATTTGGGAAATGCATGAGTTGTGTGTCATATTGTTGGTGCACTATGATTTTGGTGGTGTTTGGTTTGGAGGGGGTGATATGGTGATGTGGAGGTGTTAGAGTGGTGTGGTGTGTTATTGATGTTGGTGGTTATTGTTGTGGAGGTGGTGGTGTATGGTTTAGACATGGTGGTGTGGTGTAGAGGTCGTGGTGTGGTGTTGGTGTTTGTGTTTTGGTGATATGATGGTGGTGTGCTATTGATGTTGGTTGTAGGTTGTGTGCAGATGGTGGTCATGATAGTACCGGTGATGAGGCACTGTGATGTGTTGATAAATATGATGGCAGTGGTTCTGATGCGGTAGCGGCGTTGCAGATGTTTATGTTTCTTACTTTTTCTTATCTCCCATGAATTTATGTTCTTTAGTGTTTTGTGTGCTAGTTGTTGTAATGGGTAAGGCAAAATAAATTATTATTTGAGGAGAAAAGCAAAATGTTTTGTCTTCTTTAGCCGGGCGGATGGGTTAGAAGATTCTACTACCAATAGTGATTGGGTGTGGAGAGTTTGCTTTGAGGACAACTTATCTCATGATAAATCATATTGTTGGTGCACTATGATTTTGGTGGTGTTTGGTTTGGAGGGGGTGATATGGTGATGTGGAGGTGTTAGAGTGGTGTGGTGTGTTATTGATGTTGGTGGTTATTGTTGTGGAGGTGGTGGTGTATGGTTTAGACATGGTGGTGTGGTGTAGAGGTCGTGGTGTGGTGTTGGTGTTTGTGTTTTGGTGATATGATGGTGGTGTGCTATTGATGTTGGTTGTAGGTTGTGTGCAGATGGTGGTCATGATAGTACCGGTGATGAGGCACTGTGATGTGTTGATAAATATGATGGCAGTGGTTCTGATGCGGTAGCGGCGTTGCAGATGTTTATGTTTCTTACTTTTTCTTATCTCCCATGAATTTATGTTCTTTAGTGTTTTGCGTGTTAGTTGTTGTAATGGGTAAGGCAAAAGAAATTATTATCTGAGGAGAAAACCAAAATGTTTTGCCTTCTTTAGCTGGGCGGATGGGTTAGAAGATTTTACTGTCAATAGTGATTGGGTGTGAAGAGTTTGCTTTGAGGACAACTTATCTCATGATAAAAATCGAGTGCATTTTAAAAATATTATAATCATTTCATTAAATATTATTTTAATAGTCTTTTCTAAAAATTTTGATTTTTGTGCTACTCACTGTTTAGTAAGGAGTCTTTTATTTTGTATTATTCGAACTGGACATTTGCTTTCAATTATGAAATACACTAGTATGAGCAGTTCTGTTATAAACAGTACTATATTACATAGGCTGAAATGTCATTTGTTAAAAAATAACTGCAATACAACTGTTTTTAAAAAATGCAAAAAATAAATAGAAAATTAGCTTCTGCGCAACAACTTTTGAATAAGCTGCAGCTGCCCCAAACAGACCCTTAATCAATAAGAAGAAAAACTTTATCTTTAACAAGAACACATTTTCTCTCTCTCTACCCCCTCCATCAATCTCACTCTCATTCACTTTCTCACTCTCATAATATCTTATAAATTCCACCCACAATCAAAATTCTTACATTACTCAAACTTTTCAAGGTTATAAATTTGAGTGTTAATGTAGTGGATGTCGATACAGTTTTAAAAAAAATCAAAAAATATATGTTTCTATTCAATATTATTATCATTATTGTTGTTTCTTCTTACTCATAACCTTTTTCACATTCTACTTGAATGTTATGGAGTCTTTCAATATGCTCATAGCTTCGATCGAACAAAATGTAATAAAAAGTCTATCTTGAAATATCCTCTTTCTTCAACTCTCTACACCGAATCTTCCCGGCCAAATTCCATAAAAGCTCTTGCAACCTATTACTAACTTAAACCTTTCTAACAAAAATCACACATACATATCTCCCAACCTAACCATCATTTAAATTCTACAAAAAATCAGCCTCTCAAAACAACCACAATCCCCCTTATTCCTTCTTATAGCTCTCAAGTAACACTACAAAAATCTTCTTCCTAATGCTAATTTTCAAACCCTCAAATAACTTAAAAAGTTCCATGCAACATAGATAAATACTTTAACATGTACATATATCACAAAATTGTGAATATTTTTTCTCTCAAAGTAGTCCATGCATCTACACAGAAAAATTCATACATCAGCATCAACCTATTTACTAGACTGAGATTAAGTTTTTATATTTTTGGATATAACACAATAAATGTGAATCTGCAAATTACAACCTACAAATTCAAAATGCATATTTATTATCTCTCGAGTAAGAAATTTCTTTCTCGCTTGAAACACAGAAATTTATGATAGCATTTCACCATGCTTTAGACCGCGTTAACACTTGATGCGAGAAGAACAATTTTGTTGATGCTCAGAACAGCTTCCTCATTATGAAGGGCAAGTGTGTAACTATTGTAGATAAGAATGTGGGCCCTGGGGTCGAGCCCGTGGCCGCGTTTATTATAAAAAACAAACTGTATTAATGGATAAGCGGCCAAAACATTCGAAACAAACACCTCAAACAGCGTTTTCAAAACAAACTCACCAAATAAGCCGCCTCAGGGGCCCTTACTCCCATGGCTTTGAAATTTTTTGTTGTATGTTTGATTCATGCTATAGTGATTTTTCTATCAAAATTGCTAATTTTAGACAGCACCTTTAAAAGTTAACAGCACTTCATTAAAATCTACTCATTTCTGAAATAGTCAGATTTATCAATCTCCATCTTTAACTTAAAAGTGCACCATTATAAGACTTTATTGGCATTGTACTAGCATTCACTTGGTTCACCATAAATTGAGAATCTGAGAAGATAGATGCATCTCCCCAGTGCCAAGTTTGAACCTTAGATTTAAACTTGAGGATCTATCTGAAAATTGAATCGGGCTCAATCTAGCTCTAAATCGATACGAGCTCGCTCAAATTGAGTTATTCGGATCGGCCCTAGCTCAAAATCAGCCAGAAAATAACTTGCAACTCATTATATTCAATTTTACTTAGCATTATATATACATATACACACTATAATATCATCAAATATCACCAATCCACCAACCCACGCAAATGAATTCCGCATATAGCATTTACGCTCATTCAGATTCCAAGAAGCAAACTTTAAGAAAAAATAATCATTTGGATGCAGCAGCAACAGCAGCAGCACGTCGAATCTTAAAATCTTTTCTGTACTCCACCAATTTCTCAGCATCAGGCAGCACATGCTTGACAGCCTCGTGGGAACAGAAGCGTTCCGCCCACTCAACCAACAGAGGGGTCTTCCTCCCGTCTACGTAGTTTATTCCACTTATAATTTCGATAGCTTTTAGCCAACTAAGACAGGAACCGAGGGTGATGTCTGCCAAGCCAATGGTGCTGCCGCCGAAGAAGCTCTGCCCCTCACTGCACTTCATGAATGCCTCTTCTAGCTGCAGCATTGCGGCGAACAATTGCTCTTTCGCCTCTGCTTTGCTATTCTCATCTTCACCCCACTTTAACACTCGAATTTGAGGAATCAACTGCAAAGATGGGGAACTTTACTGATTTATGATCATATTAATTTGCTTTTTTAACTGCACTTCAGCCATGAAGATACAGCGTAAAAGATACTTTCTAGTTAATCTTGTATTGTTATAAAACCTAATATCAATTTTTATTTATTTTTTACTTTTTTTTTAAAGTTTTCATTTTTAAAATTAAATTTTAAAAAAAATTTCTTAAAATTTGTCCTTTATTTTTTACATATTATTTAAATAATTTCATTATCTAAAAAAAATTTACAATTATATTTTAGTTTATTTTTCCTCAATTCAACTAAAATAGAAGAAAATTAATTTAATAAAAATAATATATTTTCTCCTCACAAAATAAAAATCTCTTTCTTCAAACAAAAAAAAGACATGGCAATAAAAAATTAATGGGAATTACATACATACTACTCAATTTCTATATATTTACATTTCTAATTTACATATATATATCTTCTTATCTATGCTTCTAAAAGTGTATTTCACTTATTAAAAGCTCAAAAGATGATATTTTTTTAATGTGATATGAAATATTAGGATGACTTAAATCTAAAGGCTAAAATTTTAGGTGTTCGATATATAAATCAACATTGGTTGGGTGGTAAAATGTGGATGCCCCAAAATATGCAATTCATTTTTTTTCTCTGTTTTTACTTACTTTGTCGTCAACATAAGCTGACCAGAAGCGAGCGATGGCGCGATCGTAAGGAGTGGGAGGGAGGATTGAAGGGCCGGAAGAAGACCAGACTTGGTCGATGTACTGCACCACAATACTGGACTCGCACACTGGCTTGCCTCCATGGATGAGAACGGGGACCTTTTTGTACACGGGATTGGACCTGACAAGAAGCTCGCTTTTGTTCAGCAAATCCTCCGGGAGGAACTCGTATTCGATCCCCTTTAGATTGAGAGCAATCATTGCTCTCGCAACGAAGGGACTTGCCCACGTCCCGATCAGCTTCACCTCGTCTTTTGTCGCCATTTTTGTTTTCTGAATCAGAAATTTGAGCTCGGGTTTAGTTACGATGGTTTGGATTTCTTCCGCTGGATTTAGCGGGTATTTGAAGCTCGAACGCAGTGGGGGCGGATCTCTTCTTTCCCGTAGTAGCAGTTAGCAGGGCTTCAATATTGACGTGAGCGATGACGTTGATAAGCGGTCCAGGGCGGACTAGTCTATCGATGGCGTTTCAAATTTTGCTTGCTTTGCTAAAATAATTTCAGGAACATTGAATATTCACGTGAATGTTGATTGCTCAAGATTGCTTAGTGGCGAAGTTGTAATGTTGTGCCACACCAAGTGCAAATAAAGATGAAGACTACTAAGTCTTAAAGATAAATCATGTGAACTGAACACGAGTAGCTCGGCCAGAAACAAGGCAAACACTGCAAGAAAAATTATTAGAACCGGTGGAAAATTGGGTTTTTTATAATTTTTAATGGCTTATGGACTTTATATTTAACCTAAGGATTTCCAAAGATTTAATCCGTAGGTTACATGTAAACCGCATTTCCAACGACCTACAATTAATATCCGACGGTTTAAATTGCCGGTGCATGGAAAGTTCACGCATTGATTCTCATATGATATTAACTGACGGTTATTCAGTTTTTTATCGGTTATTACACTATAAGAAAATGCTTTATAAGCATGAGGCAGTTTCGACGTTAATCGAGCATTTTTCCGACTCTACTGATTAGCGTCGAAATAATTTTTATATTAAATGGGCGTCAATAATTGATTTTGGGTCAACCTTTGCGTTGGATTTTTATTTGCATAGCGATATGCATCTCAAAATTACGTCGATATAAACTTTCGATGAAAAAACGGGAGCCGCTAGATTAACAACGTATTAGAGTTGAACTTGACCGACACTAATTAGCATCAATATTAGTGGACATGTCTTTAACTGAAAGGCATTGCAAACACTAATTAGCATCTATATTAGTGGACGAGCAAAACATGACATTCAGAGGCATTTTTTCAGTTTGCAAGACACCTCAGCAAAATGACATTGCAGAAAGGATGAACATATCTTTAATTGATAGGGCAAGATGTTTGAGACTGAATGCAGATCTTCCTAAAATTTTATGGGCAGAGTCTATAAGTATGGTGTGCTACCTCATCAGATAACCTCGGGCATCATTGGGTGGCAATGTTGCATAAGATCTATTGACAGGCAATGCAGTTAATTTTGATAATTTACAAATTTTTTGTTGTCCTGCTTATGTGCATTTACCTGGTGATGAAAGATCAAAATTTGATCCAAAATCCAAGAAGTGTATCTTTTTAGATTACAAAAATGTGTCAAAGGATATAAGTTTTGGGATCTGATTGCAAAAAAAATTGTGATCAACAGAGATTTTATTTTTTATGAGCAGTCTATGTTGCAACAGCATCAAGACAAGGTGCCAGATGATAGCTCGAGTTCAGATACAGTAAAAATAAATTTCAAATAGCCTCTTAAAACAACTAAGAGAATGGAAAGTTTGTTTAAATCCAACATCTGGTGTGTCTGTTACAAATGATATGCAAAATTTTAATCTAGCCAAAGAAAATCCAACATCTGGTGTGTCTGCTACAAATGATATGCAAAATTTTAATCTAGCCAAAGATAGACAGAGACGCGTCAATATAATGTCTCAAAGTAAATTGGGTTATGAAGACATGGTCTCTTGTGCACTTCTCATGAGTAGTGATGATCTAGCTAGTTTCCAAGGGGTTATCACTAGACATGTGAAAGAGAAATGGATGAGTACAATGGCTGAAGTGATGGAGTCCTTGCAGAAAACTCATACATGGGAGTTTGTCCAACTTTCTGAGGGAAAGAAGGCTGTTGGCTGCAAGTGGGTGTACAAAATGAAACCAACAGTATCAGAAAAAGAAGGGGAAATGTTCAATGCTCGATTGGTAGCAAATAGATTTTCACAGCATAAGGGGATATATTATGATGATTTTTTTTCTCTTGTGATCAGACATACTTCAATCGGGACAATTCTTGCATTAGTAGTTATTTGGGATTCGCGTCTAGAGCAGATGGATGTTAAAAGTGCATTCTTGAATGGTAATCTTAAGGAGTAGATTTACTTGGAGTAGCTAGAAATGTTCACTCAACCTAGACATGAGCATCTATTTTGTAGGTTAAAGAAATCGTTGTATGGGTTGAAACAGTCTCCAAGACATTAGTATAAGCGGTTCAACTCCTTCATGATTTAGATTGGCTACAAGAAATGTGAGTATGATTGTTGTGTCTATGTTAAGATCCTTGGTGATGGTTGTTTTATTTTTTTGCTACTGTATGTTGATAATATACTGATTGTTGTAAAGAATATGCAAGATGTTCTTGGTTTGAAAGCTTTACTAAGTTTGAAATTTCGTATGAAAGACTTAGGTGCTTCAAAGAAAATTCTTAGAATGGAAATTGACCGAGACAGAGGCTCAGCACAACTATGGTTATCTCAACAGGACTATGTTAAGAAAGTGTTAGACATGTTTGGAATGAGCAAAGTTTGTGACTACTCCATTGGAAAATCATTTTAAGATTTATTCAAATTAGTATCCTAAGACATATATGGAAATTGAAGTCATAACAAAGGTTCCTTATGCCAATGCATTTGACTGCTTGATGTATGATATGGTATGTAGTCGTCCTGACATGACTTATGCTATTGGTCAAGTTTGCAAATACATGTCTAAACCTGAAAGGCGACATTGAGAAGTAGATAAGTGGATTTTTAGGTGTTTGAAGGGTACAGTAGGACATGAAATTATTTTTGGTAGTTAGCAGAAGATCCTTTAGTTGTTGGATATGTGGATTCAGAATATGTAGCTGATTTGGACCACAAAAAACCTATAACTAGATATGTTTTTATTCTTGGTGGGGGGACTATATGTTGGAAATCTATAGTTTAGTCTATTGTGGCATTATGTACAAATGAAGTTGAATACATGACAATAGTTGAAGGTCCTAAAGAAGCCTTATGGCTTACTAGTCTAATAAATGAACTGGTGTTGAGCAAAGTGGAGTTCAGTTGAATGTGACAGTCAAAGTGTCATTTATCTAGCTAAAAATTATGTATAACATGCTAGAACTATTTATTACAAAATCAAAGAATTGATTACATCTAGTGATATTTGGTATAACATGCTAGAACGAAGCATATTGATGTGAGACATCACAAAATCAAAGAATTGATTACATCTAGTGATATTTTTGTTGTAAAAGGTTCATACTGAAGAAAATGCAGCTGATTAGTTGACCAAGTCAGTTACTATCGACAAGTTCTTGCATTGTTTGAGCTTGTTGAATGTTTGCAGTTGCTAGACAACATGGTAGCCCAACTCACTTTGGTGTATGATAGGTTTGACATGAGCAAATCAAAGCTTGTGAACACTTTATTGGCAAATCATTTTAAGCTTTGTTCAGAACAGTGTCCTAAGAAAAATATGGAATTGAAGACATGACAAAGGTTCCATATGCCAATGTGGTTGGCTACTTGATGCATGCAATAGTATGTACTCACCCAGACTTGGCTCATGCTATCAATCAAGTTTACAAATACATGTCTAAACCTGGAAGACGACATTGAGAATTAGTCAAGTAGATTTTCAGGTATTTGAAGGGTGCAGTAGGACATGAAATTATTTTTGGTAGTTAGCAGAATGATCTTTTAGTTGATGGATATGTGGATTCAGACTATGCAGGTGATTTAGATGACAGAAGGTCTACAACTGGGTATGCTTTTACTCTTGGTGGAGGGCCTATATGTTGGAAATCAACAGTTCAGTTTATTGTGACATTATTTACAATTGAAGCTAAGTACATGACAATAGTTGAAGCTACTAAAGAAGCCTTATGGCTTGCTAGGTTAGTAAAGGAGCTGAGTGTTGAGCGAGGTGGAGTTCAATTGCATTGTGATACTCAAAGTGTCATTTGACTTGCTAAGCTTATTGATGTGAGGTATCACAAGATTGGAGAATTGATTTCATCTGGTGAGATATTGTTGCAGAAAATTCATACTAATGAGAATGCAGCTGATGTGTTGACCAAATTAGTAACTATCAACAAGTCCAGACATTGCTTGAACTTGTTGAATGGTTGCAATTGCTAGACAACTCGGTAGCCCAACCCATTTGGGTGTAAGAGAAACTCCATTGTGTTTTTTCTCCTAAAGGGGCTTGATATTTTTCAAGGTGGATATTTGTTAGGTATGACTCGTCATATAGCAAATAAGGGACAAATGCTGAAGCGGAGCTCGCGAGGGGAGTAAAGTGGAGTAGAGCGGAAGCATCTGTCTAAATGGGAGAGTTTCGTTAAGTGTGTTGCAGTTGAGGGGGCAATGCCTCTGCGAAACGGTATGGTTTTAAAATTTTGGTATTATAATTTTGATCTTTCCGAAAAAATTGTCGTTTTGAATGTGAAATTGTTGTACCATATTTCAACTCTATTGCCAACCCTAATCGCAAATCACAATTCACTAATTTGTTCGTTTCTAAACGGCAGAACGAAGTCAAAGTAAAGAATATTTCGCCACCTGAAATGATAAGAAAATGAGGGTACGGTTGCTGCAACTGTCGGAAATAATGTTGTACCAAATAGAAGAGATGCATCTGTCGGTATATGAGCCAAACCTAACACATCTGCACGGGACTCTACCGGATTCTCAAACAAGATCTAAATGCATTACCCTAGTCGCAAGTTGAGAATATGGGTGTTAATGTAATTGCGGAATTACATAAATTAGGAGCCCATTCTTTTTTGTCAATAAGAACATTGATCTAAATAACTTCATAGTATATGCTTTGAAATTATTAGGATAGTGAGCATTATTCAAAAAAGAAACGACAAGAACAAATTCCAAAATATCCTCTCCAGCAATATGAGGTAATGGAATCCCTGCTCTCTCCATCTTAAATTCTTCCCCCATTATTTTATGTGAATTTGAGGATGCTATAATGATATTATGCTAATATTCACCATAATATCACTGTAATATCATCAAATATCACCAACCCACTCTCATTCAAATTCCATAGAAGCAAGCTAAAAAGGCAAAATAATCATTTGGAGGGAGGAGCTGCAGCAGCACGACGAGCCTTAATATCCTTTCTGTACTCCACCAATTTCTCAGCGTCAGGCAGCACATGCTTGGCAGCCTTGTGGGAAAGGAAGCGTTCCGCCCACTCAACCAACAGAGGGGTCTTCCTCCCATCTACGTAGTTTATTCCACATATAATTTCGAAAGCTTTCAGCCAACTAAGGCAGGAACCGAGGGCGATGTCTACCAAGCCAATGGTGCTGCCGCCGAAGAAGCCCCGCCCCTTACTGCACGTCACGAAAGCCTCTTCTAGCTGCAGCATTGCGGCGAACAGTTGCTCTTTCGCCTCCGCTTTGCTGTTCTCATCTTCACCCCACACTAACACTCGAATCTGAGAAATCAACTGCTAAGACGGGCAAATTTACTGCTTTAGCGATCATATTGATTTCCTTTTTTAACTGCACTTCAGCAATGAAAATACGGATGCAGCGTAACAAGTACTTTCTAGCATATCGGACTTGTTGTATTAGTGGATAGTCTTGCATACTCGTTGTTTACGAATAGTTTGTGTTTGGCTCGTGAAGAAATTCATATTTGATTCGTTCATCAAACTCAAATAATTTTTTTGCACTGTATATAAACGAGCCGAACACCAACAAAAATTTATTTGTCCATATTCAACTCCTTTTTAGCTCGAAATTATATATATATATATTGGCCGAAAATTCATAAACTAATTCACTTCCTACAAAATGCAGAAAACAATTACTTTTAATTTAAGTTTCTTTATGGCAAAAATTAAAAAATTGAAATATATAGAGAGCTTTCGTATCACCCAAATTTTAAGTAATTATATATATTTAATTCCTATATTTATTTTTCATATTTTTCTCACTTAAAACGTTCATATCACATAAAAAATATAACTATTATAATTTATAAAAAAATAAAATATATATTTTCATGCATAAATAAAATGAAATATATATAAAAACAAATATTTTGGTATTATGTAGGTAAATGTATAGAAATTAAGTGGTGTGCATATTAAATCATTTAAAACATTCATATGTTTAAAAAAAAACATGCTTATATTAAAGTATATATAAAGAATTAAGTTAAATATTCACAAACATATACATATATACATAAATATAAATGTAAAGGGATTTTTTATTATTTTTTACTATTTTATTAAATTGTCATTTTTATTATTAAATTTAAAAAAAAAATTCTTAAAATTTGGCCTTTATTTTTAATATATTATTTAAATAATTTGATTATCTCAAAGAAATTTGCAATTATATTTTAGTTTATTTCTCCTCAATTCAACTACAATAGGAGAAAATTAATTTAATAAAAAATAATATATTTTCTCCTCACAAAAATAAAAATCTCTTTTTTCAAACAAAAATGACATGGAAATTAAATATTTATGGGAATTATATACTACTACTTAATTCCTATATATTTACATTTCTAACTTAAAAGTTTAGTTTTTACATGTATATCATCTTACCTAGGGCTGTCAAAACAGCTCGTTGTTTGTGAATAGCCCGTGTTCGGCTCGTTAAGAAGTTCGTGTTCAATAGAACCGCCTCTTCGCTGGACTCCAAGCGTCGCGAATCTATCGCACCTGTTCGCAAAACCTTCGAACTTCGATCGCGAACCTCTGCTGCGATTTGCCGAGCGGAGAACTCCTTTGGCAATTTTGTCGCGCTCCTCTGCGCGAACGCTTAGCGATTTCCAAGATCTCGAACTTCGTGATTTCCTCGAGATCTCCCGCTGCGGAAGAAGCCATGCTGTCGCGGTTCCTTCCTTCTTAGTAGTGCAACCTCCGGAGCCTTTCTCCTCCGGTTCATCCCTAAGCGGAGACTCGCCCGCCCTCGTCGCGGAAACGTCGAACTCCTCCGTAACCACGAATTCTTTTTTCTCTAAATTCCTGTTCTTCTTCCTGCATCAATCTCCTCCGCCATAGAACAAAACCTGGCTCTGATACCAATTATTGTGAAATTAGGGCGAAGAAAAATAGGAATCGACACAAATCCACAAGAAGAACACAGAGATTTACGAGGTTCGGCAGCGGCAAGTTCGAAGGTTTCGCGAACAGGTGCGATAGATTCGCGATGCTTGGAGTCCAGCGAAGAGGCGGTTCTGCGGAGGAGTGGGGAACAGAAAGGAAGGAACCGCGACAACATGGCTTCTTCTGCGGCGGGAGATCTAGAGGAAATCACGAAGTTCGAGATCTTCGAAATCGCTAAGCATTCGCGCAGAGGAGCGCGACAAAATTGCCAAAGGAGTTCTCCGCTCGGCAAATCGCAGCAGAGGTTCGCGATCGAAGTTTGAAGGTTTCGCGAACAGGTGCGATAGATTCGCGACGCTTGGAGTCCAGCGAAGAGGCGGTTCTGCGGAGGAGTGGGGAACAGACGGTTGATGGCGTGTCGGCAGTTCAGGAAGGAAACTAAGAAACAGGGACTGTTGGAGGCGGAAGGAAACTTCTGAAAGAAATGAGAGAAATCTTAGAAGAATATTCCTTCCCCTTTCTCCCCACCAGCAGGATCAGGATTCCAAGAAAACTTGCTTTTGGAAGCAGGAGGAAGAGGACTTATTTCCTAGAAGCTTTGGAAGCAGGAGGAAGAGGACTTCTTTGGAAGCAAATTATTTTGCTGGAATGATGCGCGAGAGCACTGCAGCGAGAAGGAGTGGAGGAAGTTTCACAGAGGAGAGGAATTCGGTGGCGAACATGAGCAGCACACAAATTTTACGGATTGTTCGCAAGGTAAACGGGCTCGCGGGAATGAACAGGTGCGAAGCAGTTCGGTTAAATGACTGCGGCAGTTCGACGAGTTCTGCTTCAGGGAGTTCGCGGTAGAGGCGGTGTCGAAGCTTCGAGGCGCGATAGTTCACGAACCTTCACGGTGTTCAGTGAGGTGGAGTTCATGAACTGGAGTTCGCGTGCAGTTACCGCGAACATGAGCGTTTGCGAACAGAGGAGCTCGACCAGCGGAGTTCGCAGGTTTGTCGCAGGAGTTGCGGCATGTGCAGTTGCAGCGGAGTTCGCAGGTTTGTCGCAGGAGTTGCGACATGTGCAGTTGCAGCGGAGTTCGCAGGTTTGTCGCAGGAGTTGCGACATGTGTAGTTGCAGCGGAGTTCACAAGTTTGTCGCATGAGGAGTTGCGGCATGTGCAATTGCAGTGGAGTTCACAGTTTTGTCGCAGGAGTTGCAGCATGTGCAGTTGCAGTGGAGTTCACAGGTTTGTCGCATGAGAAGTTGCTGCATATGCAGTTGCAGTGGAGTTCGCAGGTTCGTCGCAGAATAAATTGTGACAGGTGGAGTTCAGCTGGTGTCCACAGTATTTCAGCCAAATTTTTGTGTGAACAGGAAAGGTGTTTCGTGTGAAAAATTTGATTCACGAATCACTGCTTCTAGCTGCAGCATTGCGGCGAACAGTTGCTCTTTCGCCTCCGCTTTGCTGTTCTCATCTTCACCCCACACTAACACTCGAATCTGAGAAATCAACTGCTAAGACGGGCAAATTTACTGCTTTAGCGATCATATTGATTTCCTTTTTTAACTGCACTTCAGCAATGAAAATACGGATGCAGCGTAACAAGTACTTTCTAGCATATCGGACTTGTTGTATTATACTTGTTTGCAAATAGTTTGTGTTTGGCTCGTGAAGAAATCCATATTTGATTCGTTCATCTAACTCAAATAATTTTTTTGCACTATATATATAAACGAGCCGAACACCAACAAAAATTTATTTGTGGATAGTCTTGCATACTCGTTGTTTACGAATAGTTTGTGTTTGGCTCGTGAAGAAATTCATATTTGATTCGTTCATCAAACTCAAATAATTTTTTTGCACTGTATATAAACGAGCCGAACACCAACAAAAATTTATTTGTCCATATTCAACTCCTTTTTAGCTCGAAATTATATATATATATTGGCCGAAAATTCATAAACTAATTCACTTCCTACAAAATGCCGAAAACAATTACTTTTAATTTAAGTTTCTTTATGGCAAAAATTAAAAAAATGAAAAAAATAGAGAGCTTTCGTATCACCCAAATTTTAAGTAATTATATATATTTAATTCCTATATTTATTTTTCATATTTTTCTCACTTAAAACGTTCATATCACATAAAAAATATAACTATTATAATTTATAAAAAAATAAAATATATATTTTCATGCATAAATAAAATGAAATATATATAAAAACAAATATTTTGGTATTATGTACGTAAATGTATAGAAATTAAGTGGTGTGCATATTAAATCATTTAAAACATTCATATGTTTAAAAAAAAACATGCTTATATTAAAGTATATATAAAGAATTAAGTTAAATATTCACAAACATATACATATATACATAAATATAAATGTAAAGGGATTTTTTATTATTTTTTACTATTTTATTAAATTGTCATTTTTATTATTAAATTTAAAAAAAAAATTCTTAAAATTTGGCCTTTATTTTTAATATATTATTTAAATAATTTGATTATCTCAAAGAAATTTGCAATTATATTTTAGTTTATTTCTCCTCAATTCAACTACAACAGGAGAAAATTAATTTAATAAAAAATAATATATTTTCTCCTCACAAAAATAAAAATCTCTTTTTTCAAACAAAAATGACATGGAAATTAAATATTTATGGGAATTATATACTACTACTTAATTCCTATATATTTACATTTTTAACTTAAAAGTTTAGTTTTTACATGTATATCATCTTACCTAGGGCTGTCAAAACAGCTCGTTGTTTGTGAATAGCCCGTGTTCGGCTCGTTAAGAAGTTCGTGTTCAATTTATCTGTTAAGTTCACGAGCCCAATATAAACACCTTTTTTGTGCTCGATATATAAACGAGCTGAACACGAACAAAGATTTGTTCGTCTGTGTTCAGTCATTTCGGCTGGAAACACTACTCATCAATTAGACACACACATATATATTGATGAGTAGTATATTTAAAAAATTTAATTGACTACAAAGCTATAAAGATTTATAATTAATTAAAATTATTAATAAAAAAAATTTAATAAAAGTATATTAAATTATAGTCAAATGATGTTTTAATATGGACAATAAGATTTAAAAATTGTCCCAATTCTTAACATCCTACGACTGCATGATTATGATTGTCAAAATGACTTTTTATTCTCAAACAGCTCGTGTTTGGCTCGCTTAGCAAACGAGCTGAACACGAATAAATTTTGTGTTCGAAATATAAACGAGTCAAACACGAACAGTGATATTTTTTAACAAGTAGAACACGAACTGAGTCTTGGCTCTATCGATTCTTCTAAAAGTGCATTTCACTTATTAAAAGCTCAAATGATGGCATTTATTATGCGATATAAAAGATTAAGATGACATAAATCTAAAACCTAAAAATTTAGGTGTACGATATAAAAATTAATATTAAATGGATGGTAAAATGTAAATGCCCCAAAATATGCAATTCATTTTTTATTTTTCTCTCGAGACATTACGTACCTTGTCGTCAACATAAGCTGACCAGAAGCGAGCGATGGCGCGATCGTAAGGAGTGGGAGGGAGGATTGAAGGGCCGGAAGAAGACCAGACTTGGTCGATGTACTGCACCACAATACTGGACTCGCACACTGGCTTGCCTCCATGGATGAGAACGGGGACCTTTTTGTACACGGGATTGGACCTGACAAGAAGCTCGCTTTTGTTCAGCAAATCCTCCGGGAGGAACTCGTATTCGATCCCCTTTAGATTGAGAGCAATCATTGCTCTCGCAACGAAGGGACTTGCCCACGTCCCGATCAGCTTCACCTCGTCTTTTGTCGCCATTTTGTTTTCTGAATCAGAAATTTTAGCTTAGGTTTAGTTTTGATGGCTTGGATTTCTTCCGCTGGATTTAGCGGGTATTTAAAGCTGGAATGCGGTGGGCGGATTTCTTCTTTCCCGTAGTAGTAGTTAACAGGGTTTCGATATTGACGTGAGCGATGACGTTGATAAGCGGTCTAGGGTGGACTTGCGTGTCCATGGCGGTTCAACTTTTGAATGCTTTGCTAAAAACAATTTCAGGAACATAAAATATTCACGTGACTGTTGAATATGTGTGTGTGTAACATGGGCTGCGTTCCTAGATCACTTAGTAGGGCATCGAGGCACTTCAGGTCTAGAGTCCAAATACTCCTTCTGGATTAGTACTCAAGTAGCTAGGCGCATTAGGGGGTGTTCGGGGCTCGTCTATTAGCCTCCGACCAGTCCTTTAAATATATATATATATATATATTGCTGTGCCACATCAATGCATTCATTACATTGTGTGTGTTCGGACTAAAAAAAAATCACATTCTATTTCAAGAGAAATAAACCATAGATTAGCGGAAGTGTACCGGAGTCCATTAGATCGATTGCACAAGGTATGATCTTTCAATCTGCAGATTTTCTAGAGTTTCTTTAGTTTTTTGTTGATGGGGTGCAAGAAAAAGAATGTGTCTCTCTGCAAATCGGGGATTATTGCCCTTTAAAGTAACTACCAGGCGGTTATAAAAAATTTTTGCTTAATTCTAATTCTGCCCCTCATCAAATTAGAATTTGCACTTATGGTATCCACACTATAATATCATGACAAATGTGTCCAAAGTCATAAACTTAATTCTAAATTAAACCACAATAATTTTGACTTATTAAATGATGACCCAACACATTTATTAATTACATTGTAGTCTCAAAATTAATCCAACAGTGTGCCCACCAAATCCAATCGAATTGTACCAGCTCCCAATTGTCCAACCAGATATAAGAAAGATGTGGACAACCAAGTCATATAGGCAAATCAAGTTACCTTAACACGAACGGTTTGGCTAGAAACAAGGCAAATGCAACAAGAAAAATTATTAGAAACAGCAGAAAAATTGAAGTTTTTTTAGCACTGGAAATTTTTAATTAATTTCTAATAACTTACCAACGGTATATTTAACCTAAGGATTTCTAACGGTTTAATACTTAGGTTACTTGTAAATAGCTTTTCCAACGGCAGTTCATACTGAATTACAAATCGACAAACGCGAGTTATCGGAAAGTTCACGGATTGGTTTACATATGATATTAACGAACGGTTATTTGTAATAACCGGCGGATTTTTTCGTCGGTTATTAACACTATAGGTAAATATCCGTTAAGCGTCGGATATTTTCGACGCTAATTGGGCATTTTTCCCACTATCTATTAGAATCGGATTAGCGTGAAATAATTTTGATGTTAAATGGGTGTCGCTAATTGATTTTGCGTCGAACTTCGTGTTGAATTTTTTTTTTTTGCACCGGGATTTGCATCTCAAAATTCCGTCGATATGAATTTTCGTCGGAAAAATGAACGAACTTGGATTAATTACGTATTAGCATCGAACATGATCGACACTAATTAGACTGGATATTAGCGGACGTCAATTAGCATTGACGAAGTTCGACGCAAATTAGAATCGGATAGGTTTCGATGTTAAATTATTCAATGACTGATACCAAACTGATTATTGTACTATTAGAGTTGAAATATTTCAACGCTGATTTGACGCAAATCTGCAAGAAATAAAAAAAATTATTGTCGGACAATTAAATTTACACATACTTACCCAAAACAAACACAAATAACATAATATAACATTATTCTACTATCAAAATAGATAAAAGAAATGCCCAACTCGATACCAAATTAAATTAAAGATAGATAGATCAAAGTGTTCAAAGTTCACAACCACAAAAATCGAAAGTTCAGTTAAACATAAATGAAAGAAACATATAACCAGCACCTATGGCGGGTCGGGGAACATCACCAAACACATAATAAAAATTCAAATCTTGCTCCTTATTCTCCTCATCTTCCTCGATAACACTCATATGTCGCTTGCTCTGACAGGCAAAATTCTCTGACAGACATGTTATACTATCTACAACCATCTGCTGACCTTTATGCACCTATCAGAGCTCTTTATTCACCATCATGACACACTTGGCAAGCTCCTCATGTTGAGCATATAATGACCTAGGGCCACCCACAACTGCACGAAAGTGCTCAGCTTCAAATGTTATCCCCTTTGCTCCTAGGTCGTACACTCTCCCTTTCTTCTTCCTTGTTGCCTGCGTTCACAACTCAAAAATCAGATTAAACAGTGATAGACTAGCTACCACTGATGTCGACAGATGGCGAGGTCTGGCTAGCCATATCACTTTGTCTCTCCTGGAGTTGCTTATAATCTCTTGCATACCAAAATTCAAGCATTATATGAGATTTTTAATATTAATTGGCATATTAATAACCCTAACAAAAAATAATTTTTTTAACTTACATGACACGCCAAGAGTGGTCGAATATCCACCGGTATGTGCCCAGATATCGATGTGTGAAGACATGCAACTTTGTAGTGGATGACTCTCGGTCAAGCTCCTTGGCCTATATACATGATCAAACAAATATAATGGTCACATAATTACATAAATCTGTAAGCTTCTGAATTTTGAAAAAAATTTCCCAAAAAAAATTCCCAGTCTCCGAATAAGGCTACGTGAGGGGGATCGAACCTCCAATGTGGAGTGCAGCCCCTCTGGCTCCCTTTGTCATTCGATATTATTGGTTTGTCTGTTTTTTCCTCTAGTATTCTGGAGAGCCTCATGCTCTGTTTAAATTGTATAGGTAGATGTTCCATTGAGTCAAAAAAATCAAGAGAAAATATCCATTCGAGCTTGCATAACAATAACAGAATGTCTGCATCAAGACTTTTCAGAGAATCAACATTCAAAGTGCATGCACATTTTCTTGTCTTTGATTTCGATCAACGGATTAAGTACCGACTTTGGCAGGACATAGAATGCATAGGTAATAAGCATTGCATGAAAATATGACAATCGCGACTCTTCATATAAAATATTTTCTCCGTCTCTAAATCAACACATCGGCTTATGTTAAAAGCACAACTACTCTAAGACTTTAAAGAATGAAACCACTCAAATATTATTTTTTGTTGATCCAATATGAGACAATATGTAGCTTCAGGTTTTATTATTTTACTTGCATTTGCTCTTACTGTTCTATTTCCCTCCACTTGCAATACTCCTTCAAGTCTGATCTTGCTTTGACATTTTCTTTTTTTTTTCCCTTGATATCTAGAACAATATTAAATATAGTATCAAAAAAATTCTTCTCAATATGCATTACATCAAGATTATGCCTAATCAAATTGGTTCTCTAGTATGGAAGCATTGGTGTCAATTTTTTATGGCATATGCATTGAGTGTCCACCTGACTGACTCAGGATGATTCACTGCTCACTCATAGCATCTTGCAATTCAAGACATCCTTTTGAGACCTCCTGGTATGTGCTCCAAGTATTGAATCAGGACTTGTATTGATTCTGGGCTACCCGGGAGAATTCACCATAGATTGACGCTAGGTCTGACTCGGAACGTGTATGATGTCCTTTATGATGTTTAGAGAGCTTACTCCATCAATCTAGGGCTTTCGTGGCCAAGGGTAGTCAACAACATTTCCCACGTGCATTTTGGAAAATTTTGGGTACAGACTGATTTTTCCCCCGCGAGAGTTCGAGACCCCTGTCAACACCAAATTCCCCAGTTTAAAATCCTAGAAATGTTCATTTTCGAGTTACCGAGTCATATTTTAGTGATACATAACTTTTCGTAGCCTCGTGATCAACGAGAACCTTCCTACGATCTTCCAGGTGAAAAATTAGGTTTTGGATCGTTGGGGCCATATCCAGTATAGGCGCCACATCAAATTTTTGTTAAGTATCGGCACACACACCACATAAAATCCATTATAACTCTATTATATGAGGCACATCTCCCTTCATAATTAAAAGTGGGAACTCTTGTCATTGTCGCAAACCACATAAACTGTCTATGATCCAAAAATACCATCATTCACTCCCACTATAGACTCCTCCTCCCACCAAAAACATCTAATATATAACATTCTTCATGTGTATTTAATTCAGATTAACTAAATCCACTTAGTAGTTGGATTTAACTGATTTAGTACAAGAAAAAAATATTTCAAATATATTTAAGAAAAACATATCATATGATTTTAACTAGTTTTAACCTTAACTGAGCCGAACATTTTTTTTCAGATTTAATAATATTTACATTTAATAAATCCCAATTTATTGGATTTAGTAAATTTTATTTAATTTAAATCATACTAGCAACAAAACTCTCCATAAGCCATACATTTTTTTAATGAAGTTAACTTCTCACATGAGAAATCAATCCTAAGCAAACTTTGCATACATTCATTTGCATTACATAGCTAACACCTAAATTTCATATTTCATAAATTCACAAAAAGAAAATGAACAAAAATTGAAACCACACATATAAACCACATTATATTTATGCAAAACCATCCTAAACCAAAAAAAAATTTTTGATGGAATGAAAATTAAAAATACAAATCACTTGAGGGGAGACTCGAGAGAGAAAAAAAAGGAAATCTAAGCCAAAAGAGGAGTTTACCTTGTTGGGGCCTCAATTTGGATGGTGAAAATGTCGCCTGAGTCGCTCGAGCTCGCCGAAATGGTCACTATTGCCCGGAAGAAGCCATAGGTCGCCGGCTTTGCCGCACCGTTGCCCAAAAGGCGAAGAAGAAGAAAATAAGATTGGGTCAGAAGGGTGAGTGATATTAGGGCATTAGCCCATGACCGACGCTATTGATTACTTAATAATATCAACCATGGTCGATGTTAATCGCACGTTAAATCCAGCAAAAAATCATACCAACCGCTTTTATATTTTCAAATCTGATGGTCGTGAAGAAGACATAATATCAACGCTTTTTGTGTCGAACTATAAGTCGTTGCAAAATCTGAATCTAATTTATAGTTTTCCTTCAGTGAAAGTTATTAAAAATCGATAACATAAGTCAATCGTAAGTTGGCAAAGAAAATCTTTAAAGCCGAACAAAAACTGAAAGTCCTCATTTTCTTCTCCCACGTGAACTCGGTCTCCAGAAAGTCATCTAGCCACGTTTGATCGCATTTCCCTGGAGTGAACAATTTCTCAAGTTCTTACAGTCAAATTAAAGGAAATAGTTAGTTTTTTCTCTTTCATTTCATTCAATTAGAAGCGTTCATTCTTTCACATTTTGAGTTTTCTTGCTCGAGGAAATTTCAAAATTTTGTTTTGATTTTCTATTTTTTACATGATGTATATGATTGTTATATGCTTTGGGCTCATCTATTAGGTTTGTTCACTTGTAAAAACTAGTTTTTAATGCTAAATTTGTTTACCTAGTACAAAAATTATTTTTAAGGGCCTTTTACATCTATAGCACCCAAAAAAATTGCTTTTTACAAATCTAACACACTTCATCCATTTTTTATAGTCTCATCTATCTATAAAAAAATATAATTTGTAAGACTTTTCTCGATCAATCAATTCTATAATTTTCAATCAGCTGAATCGAGTCATTATCATGTTGCATCAATAATAAAATTTTAAAATTTTAAAATTTTAAAATATCAAGATATTTAAATGAATGAGGAGCATATGTATGATATAGTTCTTTGGCTCAATTCATCTATTCTAATAACAACAACCTACAGGCCTTAACGTGCATGTGACCGATATTATGGTTTTGAAGTGTATGAGGTGTTAGCCAGTAGCCTACTCCAAGAGGGTAGTAAGTAGCCTACTCCAAGAGGGTAGTAAGTTCAGGAGAGTTGAGCTTAGTTTAGCTCCCTTGTGTGAGTGAATTCCAAAGGTCATACCATTTTTAGTTAGGTTTGATCATTTATCTTATTGGTAGAGCTCACATTAGTTTAGGTTTTGAGCTTAGTTTGTTGTCCTTGCCACATTACTAACTTTTTCCTATTCTTCTTGATGGCTCGTTTTGTCGAATATAATTCCTAAACTTCTAAAAATTATTCAACTAAATAATAGTTTATTTTAATTTTAAAATTGTAAAACCCAACTACATGTTAGACTAGAGTAACCACTACTTCTTCTTGTATCTGGCATTTCTACACCTCATCCATTGCCTTCCGAAAAAAATTGTTCCAAACTTGAGCCACTCATTTTATAAATTCTAAATAGCAGTCTTGATATATACCATTATAGTCTGCGAAATTTATTAGCTATATTTTAACTAAGAACTGTTTTTTCAAAGATGTAATTAAATAAAAGGGATTTGTCTTACTAATGATGCGAGCTCCCAAAATTAAAATAAATCACTTTCTTTTAGAACTGGAGAAAAGATTTTGGCTCTTAGTTCCGCAGAATAGTGAAGCAAATACTTCGAGATTGGATCCATCATAGGCTAGAATTTTTATCCCTCGAAATGTTCTACCATTCATTGATGTTATATTAAAACACAAGTAAAAAATTTCAAAAATTTTATGCATGGATGTAGACAGCAACACAACATTATTAACATTTTGATTCCCAATCCAGAAACATCAAAGAAAATTAATGACTCATGGCATGTAACATCTTGTAGGAAACTTAAACTCTCAACCATAACACAATCAAATAACTTCAACGGCACAGAAACAAAATAACTTCAACGTTGCATCATCATATGTTGATGTGAAGTGCATAAACACAACATGTGCCACCTTAATTTTATTTCACCCACAGAATCCATAAACGCAACCAAGAAAGCAGAAAATCATTTGGGCGGATCAGAAGCCGCAGCAACACGACGAACCACAAAGTCTTTCCTGTAGTACTCTACCAATTTCTCGGCTTCCGGCAGCAGCTCCTTCGCGGGGTCGCCGGAACAGAAGAGCTCCGCCCACTCAACCAACCGAGGGGTCTTCGTTTTGTCCAGAACGTTTATTCCCTCTATAGTTCCAATTGCTTCCAGCCAACGGAGGCAGGAACCGAGCGTGATGTCTACCAAGCCCATAATGTCGCCGCCGAAGAAGCTCTTCCCATTACTGCACTTCGCTAAAGCGTCTTCTAACTGCAGCAGTGCGGCGAACATCTGCTCCTTAGCCGCTGCCTTGCTTTCCTCATCATTGCTCCAGAGCAACACTCGAACGGGAGAAGATAACTGGCAAGGGAAATCGTACTGATTTAATAATGATAATAATTGTTTTTTAATTGTACTCTCTACATGGAGTGTTTATTCCACCAATACACACTTGTCATGTGACAAGTGGGCTCTAATGTAATACATTAGTTGAGTAGGTTTTTTAAAGGGGTGGGACCCACTTGCCACATGACACATGACCACCAGACTCGGAACACAAATTTTACGCCCGGTGCCCTGATGAAATAACCTTTCCTATTGATGACCTAATTGCATTAATAGTGTCAAGTCAAACTTAGGAGTAACTATAATTTTTTGAAGAAATACTACTAGGAAGAAGAAATTTTTCAAAATGTTGTGGCGACTGATGCAAAAGTTTTTTTTAAAAAAAAGAAATCAGACCGTAACTTTCTAGCAATCACCACAGATAACTAGTTATTGTGCTAAAACTGCTTTCAACTAGAGCTTATTGGAAAAGCAACTTTTAGTTACGACTTTTTGAAAATCACGAATAAAATGCATCGCCACTGCACTGCTGCCCCTAACACGTTTATTTTATCTTCAAAAAAATAATTTTGATTTAAATCTACTTTTAAATTGTTTTATTATTATTTTTTTTCTAACAAGTTTAGAATAAAAAGAAATATTTTTAAAGATTGAGATTAAAAAATGCTGCCGAATTTTTTGAATAATATCTGGAGTAAGACCCACGACAATGCTGCCGAATTTTAAAATAATAATATTACTGATTGTATAGATAGAAGACAACATTAAAATCTTATTTTATAGTTTTACCCATAAAATGAATAATTTACATGCATTCCTCTAAAATTTTTATATATTTAGAAATCTAACACTTAGGGTTTGTTCGGAACAGCAACAGCTTATTGAATAATTTGCTGATAAGTTAATTAAAAATAAGCTGTTGATAAGTTTAGGTGCGATCACTATTACAACTTTTTATTTTTTTGAAAAAGTCAGATCGCTGCCAGAAAGTTCCCACCGCAACGGTGTGAAAACGCTATTTTCGGCGTTTTGAAAACGCATAAGCTGCCAAAACCAGTTTACCCAAACAGGTTAGGTGCGTTTTTCAAAATGCCACCGCACTAAATAAGCTACCCCAAACGGACTCTTAAACTTAAATTTTTATATTTATGTCACCTTCAAAAACTTAATTTTTTTTAAATGTTGTTTTGTAAGAGGATAATATATCTTAAACTTAAATTTTTATATTTATGCCACCTTCAAAAACTTATTTTTTTTTAAATGTTGTTTTGTAAGAGGATAATATAAACAATACTTTTAAAAATATCCTCCCACCATTAGTTTCATTTCATGTATCTAATGAAATATAACAAAATATAAGAAGAAACAAAATTTAAAAAAAAGAATTCAATGATTGTCGCTGCACACAATAATCTTTCACATATCACACGTGCTCTATTGTGAGATCCACAATGTGTATGATGATATGGCTACTGAAGATTGACCGTCCGGACGTGCAATGAGAAAAATGACAGAATGAAATATAAAATACGCACCTTGTCGTCTACATAGGCTGCCCAGAAGCGAGCGAGCGCACGGCCATAGGGATCGGCGGGGAGGATGGAGGGGCCGGAAGAAGCCCAGACTTCGTCAATGTACTGCAAAATGACAAGGGACTCGCAAACGGGCTTATCTCCATGGATGAGAACGGGGACCCTCTTGTAAACAGGATTAGACCTAACAAGAAGCTCGCTTTTGTTGGGCAAATCCTCTGGCAGGAACTCATATTCGATCCCCTTCAGATTGAGAGCCATCATTGCCCTCACAACGAATGGGCTCGACCAGATTCCGATCAGCTTCACCATCTCTTCCGTCACCATTTTCTCTCTGGATCTCAGATTTGGTTTCTATGTTTAGTAATGGATGATTTGAATCTCTTCTGCTCGGTTCAGCGGGTATTTATGCGCAGATATATTGTTTCTGGATTTAAATTAAGAATTTTTCAATAACGTAAGCGATGACGTTTGTAGGCGGTCAACTGTAGACTTGGAAAGTTAATGGCGGTTCATGCCTGAATCTGCTACAAGGTCAGCAGAAATCTGACCATTGCTTATAAACTGCAACTAATGTCGCCATGAAGCACATAAACACCTCCACAAATATCGGTCATATTAAATCATTAAATACTCTTTATTGCCTTAATATTAGAAGTAGACCCGTCTGGCTTGCCATAAGCCCACTTATTATCTATTGGAGGCTTATCAAAGTAGCTTATCATAAAA